TCTGTCTCTCTCTGTATGTCTGGCAAGCGCACGCGCCCTATAGCAAAAACCTCTCAAAAAAAAAAAAAAAAAAAAAAAAAACACAAAATTTACGGCTGTAAGATACTTCGGCGTGCTCCTGCCACCAATTCAATTATGGCCTAGAAAGAATCACGCCAGGTCCCTGGCACAGCGACTGCCGGGGACTCAGAACACTTTAACAGACATAACCAAAACAGAGCTCAGAGGAGAAAGCACACGCTCGCTCACTCCCGCCAGAATGGCACCAGTGCTCCTTTCACGGCGGCCTTGATGGCTCTGGGTATTACCGCTCTTTAATCTTGATTAAGTCGGGGCCAGCTGCCCAAGATCCCGAAAGGAGAATGGAGGAGAAGGGATTGCAGTGTGGCCGTCCCCCTGGGAGGTGATTTCTCACTTTCTCTCTCTCCAGCAGGTGCTCACACCCTACTGGCAAAAACCTAATATAAATAGATAAATAAAAGTAAAATAAAAAACAGGGCTCGCTCCATGGCCTGGCTGTTAAGGTAGCCAGATCTCACAAAGATGACCATGCAGTCCTGGACCCAGGGACTTGAGAAACACACCCATGCATGGACACACTGCCCTGAATCCCCAAAGCAGGGAGAAATGGGGGGAGAAGGACATACGGCATCAGCATTCCCCAGGGTGACTGCTCTCCCCGTCTCGGCTGAGCACATGCGCCTTCTAGAGAGTGTGCGTAAATACGTAAACAAATACATAATCGCCACCGTGATGAAACGCTGGGAGGTGATTTCTCACTTTCTCTCTCTCCAGCAGGTGCTCACACCCTATTGGCAAAAACCTAATATAAATAGATAAATAAAAGTAAAATAAAAAACAGGGCTCGCTCCATGGCCTGGCTGTTAAGGTAGCCAGATCTCACAAAGATGACCGTGCAGTCCTGGACCCAGGGACTTGAGAAACACACCCATGCATGGACACACTGCCCTGAATCCCCAAAGCAGGGAGAAATGGGGGGAGAAGGACATACGGCATCAGCATTCCCCAGGGTGACTGCTCTCCCCGTCTCGGCTGAGCACATGCGCCTTCTAGAGAGTGTGCGTAAATACGTAAACAAATACATAATCGCCACCGTGATGAAACGCTCTCTCTGGGAACTGCGTCCTCCGCCCACATGTGTACCACGGTTTCCGTGTCCCCATGGTCCACTCTCACAGCTCACTGTGTAATGAAGTCACTGTTCCCGACACCACCCGCCCACGGGAGAACAGGAGCACGGCGTGGCTCACCTGGCTTCTTGCCGCCGTAGAAGTGAGTGGATTCAGCACAG